GATCAAAGAGCAGTCAACAACTTTATCATCTTTCAGAATGTACTTTCTTTGAGTATACTCATTGGTAGATTCAAATGGAAAAATCGGATAATTTCCCATCTTACCTACGTTTCCAAGGACTGGTGGTTTAAAGAAGAAACACCTTGGAGCAGTCCTGTTAGGCCACAGAGGAGGACTTTGCAGCCAGCCCTGAAGATACATGATAAAACAGGGTCAAATGAAAGGGGAGGAGGTCCTCCCCTATCAGTGGACTTGGAAAGGGGCAGGGAGAAGCTGAGGGAGGGAGGGTGGGGTTGGGAAGGGAATGAGGGAGCGGGATACAGCTGGGACACAGAGTTAACAAATTGTAACTAATAAGAAAAATAAAATTTAAAAAAATTAAAAAAGAAGAAGAAACACCTTGAGCTTTGATCATCTCTTCTGATCAATCCAAGGAAGTCAGAAGTGGGTGATACTTAATGTCCTGTGAAAATGTCTGGGCAGATTATGTTTCCTGAGCCTAACAAAGTGAACTACTTAAAGCTATGGAAGAATATAAGCCTTAATTTCTTAAAATTTCCTTAATCCTCACTGAAAAACTGCCTGCTCTTATGCACACAATGTGTTTAAATCACTTATGTATATACAAGTAATCCATTCCCCAACTGATCCTACTTCCCCAAGCCTTTAGATCTCTTTAAATAAAAAGTCTTCGAAATAATGCAAATTTGTATGAATATATAAGCACTTTCGTAGAAGATTTTTAATTCAGACCATAGCTGCTCTTGGCAAGAGATCACATCCAAAGAACTTTTAGTTCTGTGTGATCTGGCAGACAGGCTGGATGGTGATGGTGAATGCCTTTAATTCCAGGAGACAGGGGCAAGCAGATTTCTGAGTTTAAGGCCAGCCTGGTACAGAGCAAGTTTCCTGGTGCAACATGACTGTGGTCCTGGGTACAAGTTTAGACAAAGTAGACAAAGAAGTGGGCAAGTTGAGACAGACCCACCCTGGTGCAGAAAAGTAATCAGACTTGAGCTTGAGAGATACCATTGCCTGACAACCCACCCAGATAGCCCTTAGCTAGTGACAAAGATCACATAATCCTCCTAATAAGAAAAAAAAAAAAAAAAAACCAAGATGTGCTAATCATTCGCCCTCCCTAACAGGAGCAGATACTCTCCAGATGGATGGGCCAAAACTCTTATGGCCTTGGTGTCTAAAATAGACCAAGGCTTGGAAATTCCTTGCTTGTGGTTTGGCCCTTTAAAAACCCTGTTCCCCCCAGACCTCAGGACTGTATACTTCTCTGTTTTCACAGGGAACTTGCTGCCCAAGCTTGAACTTGTATCAAATGAACCCTCATGTATTTGCAGTGGAGTCAGTTCCTGGTGCTTTTTTTTTTGGGGGGGGGGGTCTCAAGAAGTGGGCATAACAGTATCATTTCCTCCTTAAAATACAGATATTTATTCCATGGCTTTTATATAACATAACAGAGAATTTTGTCCTGTGAGAGTTTATATTTTATTGTGAAGAATTATTTGTACTGCCAGAAAAATACTGGGAAACCAGAAACTTTATAATTCTCAGTATCTTGTATGTTTGGATTCTGAGATAGATGTGGACATATTCCATTGGAAAAAGATAAGTCATTTGATTTTTTTTCATTATGATTTTTTAAATATAGGGTCTTCTTTAATTTTGTTTTCGCACACTTTCTGTCTTTCATTAGAAAGAGGCTTCTAAGTTATAAAAATAAAATAAAATAAATTATAATAAGGTAAAACAAAAACTAACACACTGGATTTGAACAAAACAAACAGAAGAAAAAGAACCAAAGAAAATGCATAATAGATTGGAAAATATACATTATATAATTTACATATAATACATATAAATTATATAGATATGTATGTGTGTGTGTGTGTGTGCGTGTGTGTGTGTGTGTGTGTGTGTGTGTGTGTGTGTGTGTGCGCGTGTGTGTGTGTGTGTGTGTGTGTGTGTATGTGTGTGTGTATGCAGAGGGCCCATTCAGGCTTGTGCTTGCTGCATCAGTCTCTGTAAGTGCTTAGGGGCTTTGATTGGCTCCTACTGTTTTTTGAAATTGTCTTCCACAGGATTCCCTGAGTCTTGAGGAGAGATTTAATAGAGACAACCCATTTAGGGCTGAGTGTTTCAAGGTCTCTCATTCTCTGCAAATACTTCTGGCTGTGGGTCTCTATACTTGTTTTCAACAGAAAGAAGCTTCTCTGGTGATGCCTGAGCAGAGAACTACTCTATGAATAAAGCAGAATTTTATGAGGTGTCATTGCTACTTCTTTTGGCAGTAGTATTTTCTTTTGCCTTATTTCCTTGGGATACCTAGTCTCTTGTTCTTGGTTAGATAATCAGTGCTGTATTTTGGTGTTGATGTTTCTCTTTTGGTAGCCGTTAGGGTACCTTCTCATACCAAAGAAACTAGAAATTTGAGGTAAAGGGTTTATTTAGGCACCCACTCAACTTCTCTATGTTTTATGGTTTGTATAGGTATTGTCTTCAGCAGTTGTGCCTTGCTATCAGTTTGTGGAGAACAACCAGTCTTGGGAACAGCCTGAGTCATTTGAGGAACCCTTTTAGAAACCTTTGAGCAACAACTCACCTAGATGTAAACCAATCTAAGTAGTGGATCCTTCATTTGTGACAAAAGAGACTCTGTATCCCCATTATTTGGTGAATTCCTTTGGTTTACCTTTATATATGTATATATTTTATGAGCTTCTACTGCACTTAGTTTTCCTACTACCTCTCATATGGCCCATAATTTTGTCTATTCATATATTCACTTCCTCTTTCACATCCCCCCTTCATCTGTTCCACCTCATGTGATCCTAAAGTTACAGTTACCACTTTGATACCTAACTATTCTATTTCCCCTTCTTAAAAAGATTATCTATCCAATAATCTTTTAGTTTATAACTAACTTCTATACCACAGATTGTATTTTTGTTATATTCACCAGACAAGCCAAACTATACCACATATTGATTTTTAGTTCTGATACACCTAGTTCCATCCATTTACCTGAAAGTTTTAAAGTTTCACTCTTTTTAATGGCTGAGTACAAAATATCTCATTGAGTAATTTTACCACATTTACTTTATCCATTCTTCTTTTAAGAGACATCTAATTTGTTTCCAATTTATGGATATTATTAATAGAATAGCAGTGAGCACAGTTGAACAAATGTCTCTGTGGTAGAATAATGCATCTTTGAGTATAAGACCAAGAGTGGGATAGCTGTATCTTAGTGTGCATAGATTGCCTTCTTCTTGAAGAACTAACACAGTAATTGGTATAATGGCTGTACAAATTTGTACTTCCACCAGCATCCTTGCCCATGTGAACTGTTACTTGTTTATTGATCTTAGACATTCTGACTGGTGTAAGATGAAAACCCAAAGTTGTTTTGATTTTCATTTGTTAAGATATGTGAGCTATTTTAATTTGATTATTTGTTTTCTAAATATTTAATTTTGAACTTTTTGTAATTTTTGGATGTTGTCCCTCCATTGGATTTGTTGCTGGTCATTTCTTTTCATATTATATAGGCTGCCACTTTGCCCAAATGATGATGAAAAATCTTTTCAGGTTTATGAGGACTCCTTTAATGATATATTCTGATTGGTGTAAGATGGAATCTCAGAATCATTTTGACTTTCATTTCTCAGATAACTAAGGATGTTGAACATTTCTTTAAGTGTTTTTCCACCATTTGATATTTCTCTGTTGAGAATTCTCTGGTTAGCTGTGTTACCCCATTTTTAATTGAATCATTTGGTTTGTTGGTGTCTTATTTCTTGAGTTATTGATATATTCTGTATATTAAGGACAAGGAAAGGACAGGAGCCCCACAAGGAGACCAAAAAAAAAGCTAAAAAAATCTGATCCCAGGGTGTTCTGAAGAATTGATGCACCAACCAAGGAATATACATGGAGAGGACCTGGAACCCCTGTTCAGATGTAGCCAGTGGGCAGCTCAGTCCACATGTGGGTTCTCAAGTAAAGAAAACAGAGGCTGCCTCTGTCATGAACTAGATCGACTGTTCTTTGTTCACTTGCCTCTGACAATGCGGCCCTGCCAGGGCATAGAGGAAGAGGTACCAGGCAGTCCTGATGAGACTAGATAAGCTATGGGCAGATGGCACAGGAGAGCTCCCCCTTTCAGTGGACTAGGGAAAGGGAGTAGGGGCAAAGAGATAGGGTGGGACTGGAAGGAGGTGAGGGATGGGGCTTCAATCATGATATCTTTTTATTTTATTTCTTCAATGTCTTGAAAATGTTTATTATTTGAGTCTTTCATTTGCTTTGTTAGAGTTGCCCCACTTTATTTAATATAGTTTGAAACTATTATTAAAAGTTGTTGTTTACTTGTTTTTCACTCAGTCTGTCATTTGTGTGTGTGTGTGTGTGTGTGTGTGTGTGTGTGTGTGTGTGTGTGTGTTAGGATTTTTGTGAGTAATTTTATATCCATCTAGTTTGCTGGAATTTTTTATCAGCTGTAGTAGTTTCCCAATGAAATATTTAGGGTCACCTACATATATAATTACATTGTCTGCAAATGCAGATGCTTTGTATTCTTCCTTTCAAACTTGTATCACTTTTATATCCCTTTGCTGTCTTACTGGACTAGCTAAAATTTCAAGTAATATATTGAATAGATATGGAGATATGAAAAGAGTAGACAAGCATGCCTTGTTCTTAATTTTAGTTGAACTGCTTTGAGTTCCTCTTCATTCAATTTGATGTTGGCCATAGGCTTGCTGTTATCTACCTTTATTATGTTGAGGTATGTCCCTTGTATCCATGATTTTGAGTAGATTTTTTCATGAAGGTATGTTTGATTTTTATCAAAGAACTTTTCTGCATCCAATGAGATGACCCAGCGTGTTTTTTTTTTCTTTCACTTTGTTTATATGATGGATGAATTTATCAATTTATGTATGCTGAGCCATCCATGCATCCCTAGGATGAAGACTACTTGATCATGTTGGATGATATTTGGCCAAAGATTCCAGGACTTTCATTTTGATTGTTTCAGCATGGGTCTGGGGAACCTCATAGGAACTCATAGCATGGAGGATCGCTGTTGGCTACCTGCCAGTACTCCAAGTATTTCAGCTTCACCAAAGATTGGGTCAGGAGTTTCTGAGGCTCACCAAGGATGGGGTGTGTCTTCTCTGGATAGACTTGTTTGGTCTTCAGGATTTCCCACATGTCTTCTTCAATGACTCAATTGCCCTGAATGAAGATGATGCCCAGGGTCTTCATCAGGGAACCAGTCTTGGGTAAGCCTTTGCCAACACTAATCCTCTCATTGTTTGGGAACTTCAGCTTGCAGATGAGGTCTTATGAGGGATTACTGGAGTTGATTTCCCTCACTTCCACTGCACAGGCATCCTCGAGCTTCTTGAAGGCATTGTTGAAGGTCTCAGGAAAATCTTTTTCAAACTTCTTGGTGATAACCCTCAGCATTTCTTCCTTGATAGTAGGCTGCTTCAGATTGTAGTTGGGGAGCACATACTCTAAGAGCTCTACCACCTTTCTTGTTATCAGTTCTCAGTGCATAACGATAGTGTATAGGTTGGCCCCTGGAGGTCCCTTTTGCATAATTTGCTCACTTTCCTCACAGGTACTTTCATCTGAATCAGAGGAAGAAATACTCAGTGTAATTTTGGAAGATGGTGTTGCACCTTGGGAGTGCTGAAAGACTCAGCTCCAGGCTGGATCTGAGAGACAGCAGAGGACTCTGCTACTGCCTCTGGTGTTTCTTCTGTTGTCCCTGAACATTTCAACAATCCTGAGCCTCACCTCAGGTCTGGCAGAATTTCTTGCAGGTATGGAGCTTACTCTTCTGACCTCAAGGCATGATAATCTGGCTAAGGTCAAGAACAGGAAGTTTGGAAATGTGCTGGGACTGCAAACACATGTAAGAAACAGAAGGAGATGATATGAACTTTTAATCAGAAAGAGAACACCTTGTTTGTAACTAAAGTTGCTGCTTCAAGTTTCCGTAAATGCAGTGCTTTAGGAATCCAACACGCCGCTGTTATAAAAAAGCATATTCCCTGAGTAAAACAGTATATGTTTTTTTTTTTTTTTTTTTTTTTTTTTTTTTTTTTTTTTTTTTTTTTTAGTGGGACTTCTCTATCTTGCTTGTATTGTACTTGTGTAATGAGTAGCAACAGTAGAGGAGTTCTGTTAGGAGATTCTGGGAACCTCTGATTTCCTCTCAGTTAATATCACCAGCTGAAAAATATTGAGGCTATTTCCTTTTCTACTCTGAGGCTGCCATTTCTATGAAATTCTAATCACTGTTTAGAAAATATTCTCCATCTTAGCTTCCTGAAACACCTGGAAATAATTCTACTGTAGGTTTAGTACATCTGCTTTAAAACACACACACACACACACACACACACACACACACACACACACACACACTATGGAAGCCACTTGGATAAAGAACTGCCCTAGGCTACCTATGTGCAGGGGTTCCAGGCCATCTCCATGAGTGGTCCTTGGCTGGAGTGTCAGTTTCAGAAAAGACCCCTGTGTCTAGACTTTTAGGATCTGTTGCTCTCCTTGTGGAGTTCCTGTCCTCTCCAGGTCTTACTATCTCCCATTTCTTTCATAAGATTCCCTGTACTCTGCCCAAAGTTTGGCTGTAGTAATGGGGACAGGGACTGTCTCTGACATGAACAGATTGGCCTGCACTTTGATCACCTCCCCCCGAGGGAGGAGCAGCCTTACTAGGCTACAGAAGAAGACAATGCAGCCATTCCTGATGAGACCTGATAGAGTAGGATCAGAGGGAAGGAGAGGAGGACCTCCCCTCTAAGTGGGCTTTGGGAGGGACATGGGTGGAAAAGTAGGAAGAAGGGTGGAATTGCGAGGGAAGGAGGGAGGGAGCTACAGGGGGGATACAAAGTGAATAAACTATAATTAATAAAAATAAAAAAAATAAAACACACACACAAAACAAAACAACAAAAACAAACTGTCCTTTCTATTACTATAACCACCAGGCACCTAATAGCATCAAAACTGCCCAGTCAATGAAGCTGTCATTAATGGAGGGCTTACATAAGTTCACCTGCATCCTTACCTTGATTTCTGGTCAAATTTAAGATTCTTCGCTATGCTGATTTGAGGGCAGTTTACCCACATTGAGTTCCTAATACCCCCATGTAAAAGCAGGCCAATAGATTTTCTTGGGGACTCTCAGGATTGATGGCAGGGATAGGCCTTTCGCTAAGGATAGAGTCTCTCTAGGATGGGAGGTTCCTTCAGAACACAATGTTTTGCCTTTTTATTTCCTAAAGAACATTGTACTCCTTTTGCTTAATAGAGACAGTTCTAACTTGCGTTTAAGCTCCATATCTAACCCACATGTTTGGGATTCTCAACTACACATATCTTATCTTCACTGGTATCTCCAACTCAGTTAAATTTCTTTGCGTTTTCTGTTCTTTAACATGGGGTTTTCCTAGCTCTGCTCCCAAGTTTTATTTACTGTCTCATCCCAGAGACCATAGAAGGAAAATGAATGTGGATCTCTACTGGCACACTCTCTTCAGGACTTCTTAGTACCTAGGACAATGTAGCTCATAATCTTCACTAACTCGAGCTCCAGGTTATTTAGCACCCTTTTCTGGCTTCTGCCACCAGCTGCACTCATGTGCATATACCCATACAAAGATATAAAGAAAAATAAAATAAATTTTAAAAAAACATGTACATGGATGGAACTGGTGGTAGTTACTCTTTTATGAGGACTCCTTCAGCTGAGAGTGAATACAGAGCTTTCTGGAACAGAAGATTCAACATCCTACGATGACCAAAACAGAGAAAATGACCGACCAACACTCCACCCATCCCCCTTCCATTCCACTCCCGACTGCCACTGCTGCTCTGCCCCACTCTCGTTTGCGGAGATAAGGCTGTCTTCTAAAGCTGGCAGAAGTGGAAAAAGGTCACTTAAACAAGGGTGTAGCTTCTGGGGTTGAAGGAAACGGAGTAGGGGCACTATTCTCTGAGACTGGCCATGGGTAAAACAATGGCATGGGTAGGGATGAAGGAGAGGTACAGCACAGTGAACAAGATGTCTTCTGAGGTAAATCTATGAGAACCGGTTGCTTCTTGATTGTTGAGAAAGCAAGGCTCTTTTCAGTAGGCACAGATCGATAATTAAGTCAAAGATAGTGTGTCTATGGCAGAGTGTTCTCATCTAAGGTCATCCAAGCCTAATACCAACACTGCAGCTGAATCATGTGAGGACTGAGGAAACCGAGATCACCCCCTTTGTTCCCTCATGGAACTTTTGGGAGCAGGAGCGCTCTTTTCAGTTGACTGAGAAAGAAAAATAAAGCTTTAGGGGTCTCTGGTCTATGCTGGGCGTTTCTCAGTCTCCTTCACCTCTTCTCCTTGACTATAGCTGAACTTAGACCTGTTTCCTGTTGCTTCTACTGAAGGAGGGGTTATCTTTGGCTAGCCCCCTAGAAAGGAATATGTATTCTCCAGCCTCGCACTAGGTTTTAAAGCTCTGAGGAGGAAGTGACTTCTGTCATTGAGAAAAGAAAGCAGAAGGAAGAGAGTCTCATTGTGGTGTGAGTGGGTTTCCTCCGAGTTATCAAAGTCTGAATATTTGATACTTCGTAGTGCTTTAGTTGACTCGGTTGCCACTCGTGCTAGGAAGACTTCAAGACATTTATTTCTGCAATCCTCAGTAGGGAAGTCTACTTGAAAAATGAAACTTCTTCCTTCTGGACTAAGTGCTTGTAATAGAAAATGTCTGTGTGAACCTTTATGATTTACTATTCTTACAAATTATCTCAGTCAGCCAGGTGTGGTGGAACATGCCTGTTCCAGCACTCAGGGAGGCAGAAGCAGGCAGGTCTGTGTGAGTTTATGGCCAGCATGTTCTATGAAACGAGTCTAGGACAACCAAAGCTACATAGAGAAACTCTCTCAAAAAAACCAAAATTCAAAACAGAAAAAAAGTTCTGCGCATCATGGGTCTTTTGAATTATTATTTAATTTTATTTTTTTTAAATAAATGGCTTCTTCACAAACAGAAAATACCTGCAGCATACTCTTAAGAAAACTGGAGTAAGGTTTTTTATCAAGAGTCCTGGGTTATATGGAAGCTAAAGAATACGGTGTTGAGCTTGGTGCAGAAAATGTCATTCAGCATACATAATGATTATTTCATTTTCTCTATCATGCACACTCAATTTTTTAAGCTTCTGTTGTTAAACCTCATTTACTGCAGGAACATGATGAGTTATTTTATTAAATACTGTTTTTTATGATAATCAATATATATTATTATTTTTTTAATTTTTTATTAATTACACTTTATTCATTTTGTATCCCCCATAAGCCCCTCCCTCCTCCCCTCCCGATCCCACGCTTCCTCCCCTTTCTGCATGCATGCCACTCCCCAAGTCCACTGATAGGGGAGGTTCTCCTCTACTTTCTGATCTTAGTCTATCAGTTCTCATCAAAAGTGGCTGCATTGTCCTCTACTGTGGCCTGGTAAGACTGCTCCCCCCTCAGGGGGAGGTGATCAAGGAGCAGGCCAGTCAGATTATGTCAGAGGCAGTCCCTCTTCCCATTACTATGTAACCCACTTGATTTGATCCATTGGAAAAAGAGGACCATTTCAAATGAAACAGTGTTTTCTGCAGGATCATCACTGAATTAAATGCTGACCAAATAGAACACATGAATAAAGTGGCTTATGGAATAAATCCTGGCTGAGATTAGAGTATAGATCTTTATATGTTTTTAAAAGATATGACAAATTGAATCCAGTTATTGTATTATGTAAATATATTCATGCTTTGATGTTTGAGAAGATAGAACTATACATAAAATGTTCAAAAAATCATTTTTAATTTAAATTTAATTTTAGAATTTAATAGCATAAATAACATATTTATATTATTTCCACCTCTGCATCTCCTTAATCCTTTGAAACAAATTAACATCAACTTGGATATTAATTTTATTATGAAATATTTTATGAAATAATATTGCTCATTATTTACTCACCTTGTTTATTTTGCTTCTCTTTTTCTCTACTATGGATCCAATTTCAATACTTTCAGCAAAAATATTCCTAATGAATCATTGAAATATACTGAGCAGGAAATATACTTAGAAGAAATATACGTGTATTTGGGCAGAGGAGGAAAATGAAAAAGATCAGTATCTACATTTATCTCTGGATGTAGTGGAATAATAGAACACTTATTTATCAGATGATATTTATCAGATGTTATTTTCTGATTAGTGATGTATTCTTGCTTCGTCCTCCCTCACTACCATATTAACATGAGAATCCTATGATTTATAATTTACTTATCATACAATTGATTTTGATGAGCCTTTTTATACCATCAGCATTTACTTTCCTTAAAACTCACATATTGGGATGTGTTTTCCTTCTTTACTCTTTTTGTTTCCTCATGATACTGGGGATTCAACCCAAGGAAATCTCACATTTATTCTCCAGATACACATATTTGACAATTAGAAGCCAAGATCCACATAGAGAGAACATATAATATTAGTCCTTCTTAGTTTGCATTATACCACGCAGTATGTTTGCCAGTCCCATCTTTTGGCCTGCAAATTTCATTTTTTAATTAAAATTAATAGATTTATTTTCTGTGTTTCTGTGTGTATGTATGTTTGTGTGTGCGCATGTGTGTGTACATGTTCCTGTGCATGTGTGTGTGAGTATGTGTGTGCATTCACTGCAAATATATCTGCACCATGTGCACACCTGGTGCCTATGGAGGTCAAAAGATAGCATTGGATCCCATGGAACTGAAGATAAAGAAGGTTGTGAGCTGCCATGTGGATGCCAAGACTCACACACAGGTTGTTTGCAAGAGCACCAAGTGCTCTTAACTGCTGAGCTACCTTTCCAGCACAAGTAATTTTAATTTTATTTATAGATTAATTCTGTTAAGTAATTAATTCTGTTAAGTATATTAATCATATTTTCATTATCCCTTCATCTGTTGATGGATATCTAAACTGATTCTATTTCTTTGTTATTGAGAATACAGCAACAATAAGTCTGAATGCATGAGGATTTATTTAGATGTAAAATCTTTGGGGTACATGATTAAAAGTGATGTAACTTGGTCATGTTTTTCAATATTACTTTTGTGGCCTAAGTTTCTCAGGCTAATCTTTAATCCACTAGGTAGCACAAACAGCCCACAAACTTATCGTTTTATTGACTTAGCCTCCTATGCAGCTTCAATTACATTCCTGCAACAGCATTTTCTCAGTTCATAAATTGCAATGTGTCACTATTGGGAAATAGAGACTTTGGCAGATAATTGTGCAAGTTGAAATCATGTGGGTGGGACTGCTGTAAAGTTCTTATACTGTCTTTAAAATAACAGGCCAGAAAAGTTTTACTTCTCCTATTGCCACCATATGAGAATAAAAATTTACATTTGTCTGAAAAGGATATCTCACCAGATACCAATTCTGCCATCACTTTAGACATGCATAGCCTCTAGACTAACAAGAAAATATTGTTTTTAAAGCCAAATAGGATAAGATGTTCTGCTATAAAAAGCTTGATTATATCTAGTAGTGTAAGATCATTGGAATATACATCCTGTAGTAAATCCTTGTCATTATGAAAGCCAGATATTTTGTGTTTCATGAATTTAAAGTGTGAATATTTTTGTACTCGGATAATATCACCATCATGTCTGGGAATTTATTTTTTGAATCAGAGAAAAGTAACAAAAATTAAATAATCTGAGGTAATGCTAAAAGAGCCAAAATATGTTTTTACTTTTCAGGAACTCCAGTTGAGAGTACACATAGTACAGCTCTTTGGTTATGTTATACTACATTTACACTACCAATTCTTGACTACTGAGTACTGAATTGTATCTCTCTCTCTCTCTCTCTCTCTCTCTCTCTCTTTCTTTCTCTTTCTAAAATTCATCCTGTAGAATATTCAAACTCATTAAGTCAGAGACAACTCTACTGTGCACACAAGATATTAGTGCACACAAGAAGGCACAGAGATGATGCGCTATTTGAAGAGACAAGAAAAAAGATGAAGATAGAGGTCTCATAAGAAGTCTATAATGATGACACCTTGATATTGATATGTTAGCTTCCAC